TCACTTCCAATATATTCAAATGGATTTAGTTGTTGGTGCAAATCTTTTATCAAATCAGGTCGGTCAAACGGGTGGAGAAAATAAAGAAATGGATTTCTTTGACTTGGTAAAGAAAATCTTCAAGCAAAATCTTTATGTAAGAGCTTTGACTAATCTCGTTGTGGTAAAAGTTTTTCATCTTTTAACTCCATAAAGCAACCAGTAAATCTCAAAATAGTCCATCTTTCATTGTTTCACTACGTTGGCACAAAATAATAATAAAGTCGATTAATAATCTTCAAAATATTACCACATTAGGCAGCAAAGATTATAATAAAATGAATTTTATGATAACTATCAACTTCCTAAACCTATCACCTAAAAGATCTCTTCCTTATAACCCAAAGGGTTCTTTTGCTAACAAACTGGTATCAGAGCTGGTGTTGATCCAGCTTTGAACTAAGATGGAAAATGGAATGATCTCTTTCCAATTCCCTCAACTTACCAAAGAAAACTATGGTAAGTGGTCCATTCGAATGAATGCGATCTTTGGCTCTCATGAAGTTTGGGAGATTGTTGAGAAAGGTTATGAAAAACCTCTAGATGAGGCTTCTTTGACTCCTGCCCAAAGGTGGGAACTCAACAAAGCAAGGAAAAAGGATCAACAGGCTCTTTCACTTATCCATCAATGTCTAGATGATTCCATGTTCGAGAAGGTGGCAAATGCTTCTACATCAAAAGAGGCTTGGGAGATTCTAGAGAATGCTAATAGAGGCATTGAGAAGGTGAAAAAGGTATGTCTTCAAACTCTTAAAGGAGAATTTGAAGCTTTACAAATGGAGGAGTCCGAATCTATTTCAGATTATTGTTCTCGTGTCTTGAAAGTGTCTAATGAGATGAAGAGGAATGGAGAAAGCTTGAGTGACACAAGAGTGATCGAAAAAATTCTTCGCTCTTTGACACCAAGCTTTGATTATATTGTGGTAGCGATAGAGGAGTCAAAAGATCTTGACTCTATGACCATTGATCAACTCATGGGTACTTTAGTAGCCTATGAAGAGAAACTAAAGAAAAGGAGGCCCAAAGAATCTTTCAAGCAAGCCCTCTACACAAAACTCTCTTTCAAAGAAAGAGATGGAGGCTTTGGACGTGGCAGAGGCCTTGGACGAGGCAATGGTGGATTTCAAGGACGTGGACGAGGAAGAGCTCGAGGAGGCTATGTTTAATCCACCAAAGAGGACAACAACCAAGGCTCTCAATCTACAAGACGTCATGGAAGAGGTATGAAGTTTCAGAAAGGAGGTAAATCTCGAATTCAATGCTTCAATTACCACGAATATGGTCATTATGCAAGTGAGTGTAGAAATTCTAGTCAAGTAAAAGAAAAAGCCAATCTTATGGAGGTTAAAGATGAAGTTCAACTCACTCTCATAATGGCGAGACACGAGGACAAAGGAGAGAAGAAGACGTGGTATCTTGACTCCGCTGTGAGTAACCACATGACTAGGGAAAAAAAGGTTGTTCGTAGACATGGAACTAGCCAAAGGGTACGTGATGTTTGGAGATGATTCTAGAGCAAGGGTTGAAGGCAAAGGTAAGATACTAATCCTTGCTAAATATGGAAGTCACTAATACATCTCAGAAGTTTATTATGTTCCAAGTCTTAAGAGTAATATCTTGAGTTTGTGACAACTTCTGGAGAAAAACTACGATATTCATTTGAAAGATCGTAGTGCCATAGTTACGGATCCAGAAGGAAAATTGATTACCATTGTGCCAATGACAAGCAATAGAATGTTCTTGTTGAACATTCAACATAAGAACTGCATGAAAGAATGCTTGAACGATGATTCGTGGATTTGACACATGAGGTATGGTCATTTAAATTTTGGTGACTTGAAAATGTTATCTGCCAAATGCATGGTGAAAGGACTACCTCCTATCAATCAGCCCAATCAAGTATGTGAAGGATGCTTACCTGGGAAGTATTCGAGGAGTGCTTTCCCAAAAGAAGCAACATCAAGAGCTAAAGAACCTTTAGAACTCATCCATACAGACTTGTGTGGTCCTATCTCTCCGCCATCCCATGGTAAGAACACCTACTTCATTCTATTATTGATGATTTCTCTCGAAAGACTTGGGTGTATTTTTTGAAGGAGAAATCACAAGCCTTTGATGCCTTTAAGACATTTAAGGCAGTGGTGGAGAAGGAGAAATTGAAAATCAAAGCCTTAAAGTCTGATAGAGGTGGAGAATTCACATCAAGTGAATTCACCAAATTCTGTGAAGAACATGGGATTAGGCGATTACTTACCGCTGCTTACTCTCCGCAGCAAAACAGAGTTGCGGAAAGGAAGAATAGAACCATTCTCAATATGGTTCGTAGCATGCTAAAGAGCAAGAAGATGCCAAAGGACTTATGGGCTGAAGCAGTTGATTGTGCAATATACCTACTAAATTGATGTCCCACGAAGAGTCTAGAAGACAAGACTCCACAAGAAGCATGGAATGGGGCAAAGCCCATAGTGAATCACCTACGAGTATTTGGGAGTATAGCATATGCCCACGTACCAAGCCAAAAGCGGTCCAAACTTGATAATCGAAGCGAGAAAGATGTCTTTGTTGGCTATTACAAACAGTCAAAAGGTTATAAGCTCTACAATCCAGCCACGAACAAAGTTATTGTGAGTAGAGATGTAGAGTTTGATGAAAAAGGAACTTGGAATTGGAATATTGAAGGTGGTGAAAGCTACGACTTCCTTCCTGTCATCGACGAATACGATGATGAAAGAAGTGATGCGGGTGAAGATACTCAACGACCTCAAAGTCCACGTTCACCTTTGAATGAAGAGACGCAAAGGACGAGAAGCCTACAAGAGATCTATGAGGAAACAGAATGCATAGAGGCTCTCACACTCTTCTGCCTTTATACTGACTGTGAACCTCTAGGTTACGAAGAGGCAGCAAGGAACAAGAAGTGGAGACACGCTATGGATGAGGAAATAAGATCCATAGAAAAGAATCAAACTTGGGAGCTAGCCTCTCTTCCAAAAGGCCACAAAGCAATTGGAGTAAAGTGGGTGTTCAAAGCAAGGAAGAACGCTAAAGGAGAGGTTGAGAAGTACAAAGCAAGACTTGTCGCCAAAGGCTACAAGCAGAGGCGTGGCATTGACTACGAAGAGGTATTTGCTCCTGTTGCTCGCTTGGAGACTATTAGGTTATTAATTTCTATCGCTGCTCAAAATAGATGGAAATTCCATCAAATGGATGTAAAGTATGTATTCTTAAATGGCTTTCTTGAAGAAGAAATATATGTGGAGTAGCCAGAAGGATATGTGGTCAAAGGCCATGAGAATAAAACTCTCAGGCTTAGAAAGACTCTATATGGTTTGAAACAAGCACCAAGAGCCTGGAATACAAGAATTGATCACTATTTTCAGGAAAATGGTTTCAAGAAATGTCCAAATGAACATGCACTCTATGTGAAGTTTTCAAGCAATGGAGATATGTTGCTTGTTTGTTTGTACGTGGATGATCTCATCTTCACAAGAAATTCGCTTAGCATGATCGAAGATTTCAAGAAGGCAATGACTACAGAGTTTGAGATGACTGATATAGGACTTATGTCCTATTATCTTGGCATCGAGGTCAAGCAATTGGATGATGGAATCTTCATCTCTCAACAAAGATACACTAAGGAAGTTCTTAGGAAATTTTGCATGGAGAAGTGCAAGCCAATAGCCACCCCCATTGAATATGGAGCAAAGCTCTCAAAAGATGATGAAGGAGATGTTGTAGATCCAACTCACTTCAAGAGCCTTGTTGGAAGCCTACGTTATTTAACATGCACAAGGCCTGATACCCTCTTTGTTGTGAGACTTATCAGTTGATTCATGGAAGCACCTACTATAACACACTTGAAGGCTACCAAGAGGATACTTCGCTACATCAAAGGTACTATTGATCTTGGCTTGTTATATTCCTTATGTGAAGACTTCAAACTTGGTAGGATTCAGTGATAGTGATTGGTCTGGTGATTTGAGTGGACAAAAAAGCACTACTGGATTCACATTCTTCCTTGGCAACATTGCCTTTACTTGGGCTTCTAAGAAACACCTTGTCATCATGCGAGGCCGAGTACGTAGCAACAGTATCATGTGTATGTCATGCTATCTGGCTCAGGAGCATGTTGAAGGAGTTGAGTATGCCACAAGAAGAAGCGACAGAGATCTACGTTGACAACAAGTCAGTCATCGATCTGGCAAAGAATCCAGTCTACCATGATCGAAGCAAGCATATTGATACAAGGTACCACTTCATAAGGGAATGTGTGGCCAAGAAGATCGTTGAGTTGAAGCATACAAGATCTCGTGATCAAGTTGCAGACATTTTCACCAAACCACTCAAAGGGAAGACTTTGCAAGATTGAGAATGATGCTTGGAGTCACCAAATCAAGTTTAAAGGAGGGTGTTAGTAAGTAAATTTAATTTGGTCCAATTAATATTGGGTTATCCAAATTATTAACTTGGACCATGAATCTTTATGTTTAATCCTAAGCCCAAGTCCAATGAAGAATTGTCTAGATAAGAAGATATTAGAAAGTTTTAGAAATGTTCTAGATAAATATCAAGAGTATGTAGAATAATCCATGAAAAATATCTAGAAGAAATATCTAGATATTAGTAAAGAAAAGTCTAGATATTAGAATAAAATATGTAGATATTTAGAAGGACTAGAAAAATAAGAGTGTAGAACCTTCCATGCACTCCTATAAATAGGAGTTAACACCCTAATGTAAGTGTGTGTAGAGAGTTGTGAGAAACCTTAAGCTAAAAGCTTAATGCACTCCACCTTGTTTCCTTTTACTACAAAGTAGTAAAGCTCTCTTTCTCCCAAAATTTCTTTCTCTTCCATTTTCACTTCCTAAACCTATCACCTAAAAGATCTCTTTCTTATAACCCAAAGGGTTCTTTTGCTAACAAGGACAACATGGCTGTGGTACCGTCGAGGGCGAACGGTTTCAGTTATCTCTAAGATTACTGCTCCTCTCTTGGCCAATTTCCATAACCTCCATAGCTGCTGTGACGTCTACATTTGCTGCCTGTTGTATGTATGGAATATTAATATTTGCATGATATTGATTTCCCCAGAAGAGGGCCTGTCGTCTCTCTTCACTTCCTTCAAAGTTTTTGCAACTTTCGCATTTGCAAAGATCATAACAAACTTTGTTGACTTGAAAGCATTCATAGTATTTCTCAAGCCACCTTGTATTCTTGCAGCGGCAACCACCGTGTAACCTCTGAACAACTACTCGTTTTCGGGTTACTTCCTGCCAAGAAATTGATACGTATTAAGTAAGGCAGTGATATACAAAGTTTTGCAAAATTGTTATGATAAACAATCACAAATGCAAGTAATTAATGGGCTATTTTAGTTAATTTTAGCAGAAAAATAATTTGCTTTCTTTTCGTTCCTTCAAACCCTCATTACACTTTTTCAAATGCAACAAAAAGTGCTTTAGCCACAATATTAAAACACAAAGGGCAAAAGATAACTTACAACCCTATAAATGTAGGTATATCGGTATCAATTATTGATTAAATAAACCAGTGAACTAGCTTCCTAACTAAAAAGAATGTATGACTCGTGCATATCCAACTTGCTACTAGTTTGTTGTATGGAAAAATAAGAACATCTCTTTCAGCCCAATCTTAGGTTTTGCGATCACTAATTTGATTTGCATTTCCTCTTCAATATGATAAAAAAAATATAATAAGTGAGGATTGTGTCTACATGGATTCACTGGACCAAGTGGAAGAAATATGAATGCACATTAAAGGAAACGTCATACCTGAGCTCCAAAACTGCTGGAAATTCTAGGTGTAAAAGCATTAGGATTACGCTCCAGAGTAATTTTGACTGCTTCACGTCTGGCACCTTCATTTTCAACATTATTGTAACAATTTTCACAGCTGCAGCCATCACAGTAACTTCCATATGCATAGCACTCACAATACCTAAAAAACAAAATTCAAATTAACCAACATGCAGAATGCCATTAATAGGTAGCAGCAAGAGGATATAGATGGTTGTTCGCAAAAGCTTCTCAAGAAAATATTGAAAAGAAAAATGGAAGAATTGTCAGTAATCCATTTGTGGCGTGTTTCTCAGTTCGTACATATCTATGATTATAGAAAGCTATGTTGTTTTCCAGTTCTGGCCATTAATGTTTGATAACTAAGTGAAACGAAGAAACCATAATTGCAAGAAATCAAAATCTTGTTCGTGGTAGAATAATAATCTTCAGACCAATGACAATCATAAACTTTAAGTTTGGAACCTAATGATCACTAGTAACTTCATCAGATTACAACTTTAACTAACAAAATCCATCTTGGACATTAAAGCAAGTGTTAACTGGAATTCATGGAAAACTAAAAAAAGCCTTATGCTAATTTGCATAAGAGGACGACCTTTCTATTCATTCTAGCTACTTTAATTTGAATAGGTATGAGATCGAAAGAAATCAAGCTCTATTGTCTATTTCAGTTCATCTAGTTGTTTCCTTCAGAATCCTTTAGCTTCCAGGGAAAGTTAGATGAATTTAAGGGAATAGCGATAGATGTGATCCCAACAAGATTTTATAACTTGTCCTTGATGTCCTAGTCAACAGTCTCAAAAACAAAGATAGGAGAGGAAGTGCTAGTTTTAGTAAATTAAGATGGTTCTCCTATAGAAAATAGTAATAAATAAACAAAGATTTGGTTTAGAAACCTCTGATTGTCTGGTTGGAAGACATGCACGATTACCACAAGATAACTTCTCACGGAACATAAGGCGAAACATACTATCATCTCCATAGTTGTAAGACTAATATAGTCCACGGCAAATTTTATCCAGCCAGACCATAGATCTTAGCCAAAACTTAGTCAACGATCCTCAACAAAAGACCAAATAAAAAGTGAAAGGGTTGACTAAGATGCTCTCCGGTTAGGATAGTGTGTTGTTATTGTCATAGGTAGATGGTTCAATTCTCTTTGGAGAACCAAAAAAAAAACTCCGTGTGACAAAGTCCATAAAATGTTAAAAGAGTAAAAGCAGCCTGATTACTGCCTTGAAGGTAAGGATAGGTCAACAATACTTACAATTGGTGATGATTGAAGCAATTGTTACAGAGGAAGGGGAACTAGTGAAAGATCAGATGGGAATTGAAGAACACTTTGTCAGTTATTATAAGAACTTAATCGGGAAGCAACAGGAGAGAACATCTGCTAGAAGTGAAGTCTTTCACTATGGGATCAAACTGACTGTAGACCAGCAGATTCTCCTGGGGAAAGACTTTTGCAAAGCAGATGTCAAGGAGGCACTTTTCAGTATTGATGAAAACAAAAGTTCTGGACCAGATGGATTTAGTGCGTAGTGGATTTTATGGAAAAGTTTGGAGTATAATTGGTGATGATTTCAGTGATGCAGTGTTAGAATTTTTTTTTTAAAGTAGGAATCAGTTGGAGCAAATCAATGCAACCATAATTGCTTTGATCCTAAAAATGAGAGACCCAAAAATGCCACAGAATACAGACCAATTTCCTGTTGCAATACCATCTATAAGTGTATCTCTAAAATGCTATGTAAGAGGTTGAGTAGAATTCTGCCTAAAGTTATTGACTTGAACTAGGGGGCATTTGTTCAGAACAGGCTGATTTTGCATAATATTCTCTTAGCACAGGAACTGATGAGACTGCACAGGAGGAAGAATGCTATACCATCCGCATGATGAAGGTTGATCTCAAAAAAGCTTATGATTCCATTCATTTGGCTTTTGTTGAGGAAATGTTAAAGGCAATGAAGTTCCAAAATAGGTTTATACATTGGATTATGGAATGCATCACTACTTGTAACTATTCTTTATGTCCGAATGGCAACAATGTGGGCTATTTCCAAGGTGAAAGAGGTTTGAGGCAAGGAGATCCTTTCTCTCCTTTCTTGTTTGTGTTGGTAATGTAGTACTTAACAAGGTTATTCAAGCTGGAAGCAGAGAAAGCAGGATTTGTGAAGCATCCACAGTGTGAAGAATTGCAAATTACTTCCGTGAGCTTTGTAGATAATCTGCTTATATTGAGTTAAACTGATGCTAGAACAGTGATGAGAATTAAGGAAACACCATGAGGGTTAAGAGTTGGGAGTCTAGAAATCTCTCCTATGCTGGAAGAAGTGTTTTGGTGAACTCAGTCTTGATGACCCTTCATTCTTTCAGGGCAAGTATATTCTTAATTCCTCAATCAGTCATCTAACAGATTGTGGCATGTTGCAGGAAATTTCTCTGGGGGTGTAAGGAAAATGGAAAATGTGTTCCATTGGTGGCTCGGGATGACTTATGCTGGATTAGAGAAGAAAGGGGTTTGAACATTAAAGAGCCTGGAGCATGGAATAAAGCTCTACTTGGAAAACATCTGTGGGATATACAGATGACTAAAGCAAGTTTGTGGATCAAGTGGATACATATATACTACCTTAAAGGGAAGAACGTATGGGATTATCAGGTGCCAGTAGATTGTGGCTGGCAAATGGACAATGGATTGCTGATAAAGGGAAACCTTATGCAACCAGTAATGGTTATCATTGGCTGAGGGGACAAAGAAAAGTTTAAGGAGGCCTTAGTTATATGGAGTAAGTTCCCAGTGCCAAAGCACAGTTTCATAAGCTGGCGGGAAAAGAAGAATAATGACTAGAGACAAACATCCTAAGATGGGAGTTCCAGTGGTGGATTAGCAGTGTGAGCTCTACTAGCAAGAACCAGAAACCATTCAGCATCTCTTCTTCCACTGTAAATATAGTCAGGACTTGATCAGCAACATTACAACTTGGCTAGGAGTTAGCAGGAGAATCAATAGCTTGAATATGGGTCAACTCCTCAGCATTTGGAAGACCAAAACATTGAGGAAAAAGATTCTGTTTGCTTGTTTGATTGCATTGGTGCATCATGTTTGGTCAGAAAGAAATGCAAGGTTGTTTAGATCGTCAATAGAAGCAGCACGTAGTTGAGCTGAGAAAATTCAAAAAGAGATACAATGGCGGATTATACACTTGTATAGAAATAGTAGTGGTGATGATGTTCGATTCTTAGACAAGATTGGTGTACATTGTAATGGATTGATGTAAATACTTCGATCATGAATGAATGGATTTCACATTTTACCAAAAAAAAAAAAAATACTTAACTACTTCAAACATTTGGAATGCTTGCAGTTACACCGCCTTTGCCTCCTATGGTGCCATTGTTGCCTTCATTCGCATTTCTGGAAAGTTAAAGGAAATTTTAATCCAAGAAAACGTGGAATATTTTCAATTTTCAGGTACATTGACAATACATTGTCCAAAAAGCATAAGTGCAAATATGTTTCCGGTTTTCACAACACATACATTCCGCAAATTATCTATAAGAGTTAAAATCTTAATACCTTATGCATATATAACAGGCATCCTAGACTGAATGTCTTTCGTCGCATCAAAATTTATAGAAAATCAACTTGCTCAAGTTGGAAAAAAAGATAACAGGTTTTAGATTTCTAAGAGAAAATATAACATATAATAAACACACTAATCCAGACATCGCAACAAAATATTCCACCAATTTTCACTTTTATCTACCAAATATCACCCAAGAAAAAATGCAATTAAAAAATAACAATCAAAAGCTAAATATAGGACTTCCTCAGCAATCAAGCACCACGTTTGTAAAAACTCTTAAATTTTCCAAGTGAAACTTAATCTTAGGCACTCAACTAAATCTTTTCTGAGTTTGGATAATATTTTCTACTCCCTCCAGACATTAATTTTGGTAATAAAAATGAAAATCTAAATCGGACAATAATTTCTGGACAGAAGGAGTACAAATATAAGCATAAACTTCAGCTTTTCTTTTTCTGCAGGCAGGGGCAACAAATGTATCATTATTTCAAATATATTGAACATCTTACAATATAAATATTCTATATGTCTTAATCAAAAAATTAAATATAAAAGAGAAAAAAATTGGAGTGCAAGAACTTACATAGGCATGATTGGAGGATGAGAAGTTGGCGGAGGCACTGGAAATTGTTCCATTGTCTTCCGTCGGAGGGCTTTCGAGGCTGGATATATCGGCTGAATAACAATATGATGCTGGAGAGAAAGCGATCCACGAGAAGAGGAAGAAGGCGAGCAAAATAGGGTTTTAAATTCTGGTTGCGCCTTTTGTCTCTCTCCCTCTTTAATTTGAAATGTTTGTTTGTTTGTTTTTTTTTTTTTTTGCATATTTGAATTTGAATTTGAATGTTTCGTATTAATTTGATGGTTAGATGAAACGACAACGTTATCCGTCGGTAAAGAACAGGGTTGTAGGATCTGACAGTTCCAGATTTGCAGAAAAATCTGAAAGTGTTGCAAGGTTGTACGATCTACAACTTGTCTAACCTGTGTCCTAAAAAGATACTTCAAATTTTTTAATTTGTATAAAAATTGATCTCAAAACTCTGTGAACTTTTTTTTTTTAAGATAGATGAAGTACATTCACGTTGTCCCAAAATTATTGATCTGTTTCAACAGTTTTAGTTAAATTTGCACTAAAAATGAAACTCCAAACTAGATAATAATTTAGTACACCTTTTGGCGTGTTGTGCGAGGATATGCTTTTTGTAATATTAAAAAGAAAAAGTACCTAGCCCATATAAGTGACTTGCGATCAATAGAGGGCAATACTATTTATTTGCTATTTCACCAAGGATCTTTGTTGTTTTAAAAGGGAAAAATCCACTTTATGTACCCTATGAACACGGGGTTTTCAAATTACGTACCCTAAGAATTGGTCTTCTCAAATTATGTACCTTATGTTTGAAATTTGTTGTTTTAAGTATTTTTTCAAGGGCAAAATGGGAAACTAACAATTTTTTTTCCTAACCTACTTCGTTGTTGCCCCCAAACTTTTGAAAGAGATCAAATTGCACCATTAACTTTATTGATTTTTTACAAAAATTTATCTTTCTATAAGATTTTAGAAAATTGCACCTAGATTTTTGGTCAAAAATTTCCTACAACTTCCGGTGTTTATTGTATTTGATGAACATATTTTTTTATTATAAAGGGGTTTTCTTTAAAGTAGATTTATTTATATTTTTATTCGTCGTTTTCTATGATTATTTAAAACATATTCTTTTAGTTCTTCCTTTTCTTTTAATACTTTTTTGTTCAAGTTTTTTGCACTTTGATGCATTTCTAGTACCACATAATTTTTTTTATCTAAAATATAAATATAACTTATAATAAGAATAAAATAGCTAAAATAAAAAATATGTACATTAAAAAGAATACGAGTTTATTTTTATTATTTTAGCTATGTTTTCCTTATATTTTAGGCAAATAAAAATAAAATCTAAAAAAATAAGTATAATTTCTAGAAATGCATCAAAGTACCAAGACCTTAAACAAAAAGTACAAAAAAGGACTATAAATATTTTTTTTAAAATAATCATGCAAAACGACATATAAAAATATAAATAAAACTAATAATAAAGAAAAACTCGTTAGAATAAAAGCAATATGTACGTCAAAAACAATATACACTGGAAGTCATGGGAAATTTTTGACTAAAAATCTAGGTTCAATTTGCTGAAATCTGACTGAAAGATAGATTTGTGTAAAATCCGTAAAATTTATTGTGTAAGTTGCTCTTTTCTAGAAGTTTAAGGGCAAAAATGAAATAAGTTAGGACAAAAATTTGTTAGTTTTGCATTTTGCCCTTGAAAAAGTACTTAAAACAACAAAATTCAAATATAAGGTACATAATTTGGGGAGACCAATTCTTAGGGTACATAATTTG